TTTGATCCATCGGCCGGTTGGTCAATCAATCAATCATTCGATCTATCGGTCGGTCGGTCAATCATTCAATCAATTATTCGATCTATCGGCCGGTCGGTCATTCAATCAATCGTATTACCTGTCAACTTAATGAACGGCGCTGGCTGTAAAATTGGACCTGGCAACGATTTTCTGTACATAATGGTCTTACTTCTGCTTTGTGGGTCTAGAAAAATATATATGAAACTTCTGGAAGTTACCGAACTACTACATTTAATAACACATTATTCCACGTTTAGCGAGTTTTTGCATTTATATAAATTCACTGCGTACCAGTAGCCTGAAAAGTGAAGAGAATGTAAAGAGAATTGTTTTCACTTCAAGCCACATAAAACATATATACAAACGAATCTGAACTGAAGTACCGAAACAATATCTGTTTCACAAGGCCGCCACTGACTGCTGTCAACACCTTCAAGCTAACATCTTATAGCACTATAAACCAGCAGTATGGTTATATTTACCTTGTGGCTTAGAAGGTGCAAAGCATAACTTATTTAATCAACGCTAAAATTACGATGTAACTGTTGACCTAAAAGAACAACGTCTGCAAATGATGTCCTTCCTCGTGTGTCCTTTGTGTCATCTATATTGACTTATACGACTTATACGAGTGTTCAAAGATAAAATAGGTATAATAATATACTTACGACTCAAGGGTCTTCTTTTAGAAAGATTCGTACTCGGAAATGTCGTTTTGCTTTTCTGACTTGAATCTTAAATAACAAAAAAAGATGTATGTCTAAAGACACCAGTTTCATCAGTTAATTAAGGGAACAAATTAACGAAGAAACAGATTTAAAACAAGCAAAGAACTACTTTAAAACAAACAAACAAATAAATAAATAAATAAATAAATAAATAAATAAATAAATAAATAAATAAATAAATAAATAAATAAATAAATAAATAAATAAATATACCAATCAAAACTTATTTAAAAATAAACACATATATTAAAACAAACAAACAAATAAATTAATTAAAATAAGTAAATCAATTTGAAATATAACATGAATACCTGTGAAAATTGCCAACAGAAATCGCTCTAGAAATGTTTCATTCCTGGCGTCCAATGGAGTAATGTGGCTGATTTCAATCGGAATGGCACAGTCATCCAGCACAACTGGAATAATCTTCTGTCCACCATTATGTATTACTTGGTGCATTTTGAATTCACATTGCTTGGAATTCCAAAAAGATTCAGATAACACGAGAACCGTCCATTCGGAATTTTCATGACAACTCAAGTGGTTTATGACTTTCGGCACACCACCGCGAAAATCTCTAGCGGAATGCCAACATTTTAAACCTCGTTTCTCCAACTTTCTGATAGTCGCTCGACCTGAAGTTGATCACTTAGGTTATCATGGTGGCAAAAATACACATCAGCTTTCTCGTCTAGTTCCTCTGGCGCGTCCATCTAAAACGGATTTAAACACATATTATTTGATATCAGTGTGAAATATCAGAACAGGGACAATATAATTATATACTAAAATTATGATACTCTGATATTTGACGGAAATAATACATAACTAATGTAGATATGATTAATTAATTATGAGGTTACAGTACAAAGGAAGTATCGACCGACGCGCAGCGATGCGACGGTGTACTGTCTGAGTGCATTCTTTGAGATATCCTCGTAAAAACCTTATTATTATACATCTTTTCCTTCCAAGGATACATCATGGGAATGCCGAAATCCAAAATGTTTAGAACAGAATCAGCGAACTTCTTTGTGTGGAGTCCGGCCGGGTCAAACCTTGGCGGCATCCATGTTTGTTTTTATTATTAGAGGATGCTTACGCGCGTATTCCATATTTGGAATTAACATTTCCTACTATGGTAGGATGAAAATAAATATTTATAGTCGTTATTAATCACACGTCATTGTAACACGTGTACACCATTTATTGGTAACAAATCTCTAAAAGTATTGTTTATAATTGTAGACAATGCATAT